TGAATGGGCTGGGGGGGAAGGGGGAAGAGAGGAAAACGTATCAGATGATGAGCATCTGCTGTTGCAAGAATATTGTCACTGTGACATCAGCCCGGCAAAGAGAATTAGTGATGCTAGCCTGCAGCTAGCTTTAAAGAAGGAAAACCGAAAGAACTATTATCAATTTTTAGTCTTTCCAACCACTCATCTCCAAAGTTTAAAACAAAGATGCCCTAATTTAAAATGTAAACTTCTTTATGCTGCTGCTTCTCCATGCATCTTCTCAGGAATTCCTTTGGGAATTTTGTTTCTGCCTTTCTAGCTTTTGATGTAGCTTTCTAAATGGCTGCTTTGACATTTCTTCACAAACATTATCAGAAACTTTTACATCCCCACCTAAAACACTATTTCACAGCTGATTCTTTTATATTTTTTTAACTAGTTCAACAAATACCAGCATAGCATTGGTATCCAACTAGCTTCATGCTAAGTACCTGTACGAGTTAGCATACTGCCTTAAAATGTAGTTTAAGTCATAATTGGAGACAAAGTTCACTCCTTAAATTTTCATTGAACACTTGTTGAGTGGCTATCAGCTTCCTAATACAGTTTCCATTTAATTGGACCCAAGTTTTTGTAGTTTCAGGAAAAATCATCTATATCTATTTCAGAGAGATGGAAGCAATTTTAGCTAATGGTTATAATTTGGGTATATTACAATTAATTATTCCTAGGTGTTATTTTAATTTTCTTATTTTTTATTGAGGTATAATTGACATAGATTATGTTAGTTTCATTTTACCATACAGTGATTGGATATTTGTATATATTTTTAAATTATCAACATAATAAGTCTAGTTAACATCTGTCACCATACATAGTTACAGAATTATTTTTCTTCTTATGAGAATTTTTTTTTTCAGTCTCTGGTTTCCACCTGGGAGCCAATAGCTCATTCTCATCCCTTATGAGAACCTAAAATCTACTTTCTTACAATATTATTATATCCCCATTACTTTCTGATTTTATAACTGAAAGTTTATACCTTTGACTCCCTTCACTCATTTCTCCCACCCCTCACCTCGCCTCTCTGACAACCACCCATCTGTTCTCTTAGATGCCACATGTCAGTGAGATGATATGGTGTTTGCCTTTCTCTGACCATTATTCAGAAAGGCGGGAACACAAGGGTACAAATACAAGGGGCAGAAGACAAGGCTGGTGAACTCAGAGGGCCCAGAGCATGAGAGGCCTTGTTTTGCTTGCTTGTTTTTGTTTTTTTGCCAAGAAGTCAAAAGTTCTTTCTTAAGGCAGAGAGGAGCCCTTAATATAGAAGTCTAACTTACATACAAACACCCAACACTTTCCTTTTCCTTAGTAAGTTATAACATGCCTGGTACCTTGGTGTTTCAGACTAAGAATCAAACACGTAAGAGGCTGATCTCGAGCATAATTTACTAGACTGAGCAGGTGTCCTGGCTGCATAAGTGCACATTTTCCACCCATGGTTTTTGTCTTTGTTTTGTTTTGCCTTATTGAGTGCTTTGGACTGATCAAAAATGCTAGTCTTCTAGTGTGGCTCTTCCTTAGCTTAAAAACCGGTTCCTTTCCCTTTGTACTCTGTTTTTGGAATCAGGCAGGGAGACCCCAGTGTGGGAGAATTACATCACAGAACAATGGAGTCACTGGTATTGAAACGTGACTCTGGAGGGGTTGTGTTTTCATGGTGACATCTAAAGAATCATGATTTTTAGTCAAGCTAAAAATAGATTCTAATTTATGCTTGTAAATGGTGTCTGGGCACAAGAATATTGGATGTAAATCAAAAGCAGGATTTGATTTTTTAATGAATGCCTTATCTTAAAATATCGCTGTCTAACCTTGTTCAGTGTATTCGAGATCCTGTTCATGTTTCTAGGAGCTTCATAACATTTATAAAACAGGAATGGGGAGGAGGAATGCTTTTTAGAGGCAGTTTCCCATAAAGCATCTGGGCACCATTTTTAGCTTACTCTGAATAATACGTGCAGCTTCATGGTCTCTCTATTTAAACACAACCCTGAAAAGTACGCTTTGCCTTCAACCTTCATTTCAGCCCAGATTCTTTATATGGGAAGATGCGGTCTTAGCAAGAAACACAGGTCTTCATCAACATTTGCTCTTGAAACAGACCTAAGAAACTTATTTCCTAAGGAACAAAAGAAATATCACAGAGAACTTGCTATTAGATATTTCACTAAGTAACTTTTCTTTTCTTGTCTCCTTGTCCTTAAGGACAAATAATTTCCCTTGACTTTCTATTATGAAAATCCTTTGGCAAAGATTTGTGAAGAAATCTACAAACAGAACAAAGATGCATGCATGGGCTCACTCCTCGCTGTGCGGTGGCTCCATCGAATAGCATTTGTGACTCTAGCCCTCCCAAGTGGCTCAACAGTACTTTTCCACTTTTGTATTCTGACCCTCTCTTCCTCCTCCTCCTCCTTGTTCTTATTCTTTTTCATCCAAATCAAGACTGCATTGCCATTAAAAAAAAAGTCAGATTTATGAACAGATGGATAGAGGGATGGATAGATGAATACAAGTGTAATCAACCAAGTACAGTAAGCTATTAACAGTGGAACTTAGGTGGAATTTATAGAGGTATTCATTGTAAGATTCTGTCAACTTTCCTGTGTGTCTGAAGATTGTCATAAAATCTCTGGTTATCCACAAAGGGTAGGATGACAGAGGCTTTCACTTACTCTGTGTTTAATTTTTTTTTTTTACAATTATATTATTACATAAAAATTAAAATAATTTCATTTAGAGCTACATGAAATTATCTTCACAAATAGAGTCATCAAACTATTGACTTAAAAGCTTGGTAATTTACCCAAAGAAACCCAAAACACTAATTCAAGAGAATATATGTACCCCTATGTTCATTGCAGCATTATTTACAATAGCCAAGATTTGGAAGCACCCCAAGTGTCCATCAGTAGATGAGTGGATTAAAAAGATGTGGTACAGCCCTGGCCAATTTATCTCAGTGGTTAGAGCATCAGCCCACGGTCCAGAGAGACCTAGGCTCAGTTCCCACTAAGGACACATACCTTGGTTGCAGTTTGTCCCCGGCCCTGGTCGGGGTCATGCAGGTGGCAACCACTCGATGTGTCTCTCTCACATAGATGTTTCTCTCTCTCTCTTCCTCTCTCTCTCCCTCCCACTCTATCTGAAGATAAATGCAAAAATGTCCTCAGGTGAGGATAAAAAAAAAAGATGTGGTACATTTATACAATGGAAAACTACTCTGCCATAAAAAGGAAGAAATTTTTACCCGTTGCAACAGCATGGATAGACCTGGAGAACATTATGCTAAGTGAAATAAGCCAGTCAGAGAGAAAGACAAATATCATATGATTTCACTCCTATGTGGAATTTAATGAACAAACTGAACTACCAAGCAAAATAGAGACAAACTGACTCATAGACAGAGAGCAGGCAGACAGCTCTGGAGGTGGTAGAAGGATTGAGAAAAAGAGAGAATTCATGGGTATGCACAACAGTGTGGTGATTGGGAGGAGAGGGGGCGGAGGTGGAAGAGGGCATAGAGGGGCTAAATGGTGATGGAAGAAATGAAATAAAATAAAAAAATGTGTTCATTCCTTCTTTAGTCAAAATAAATAAATAAATAAAGGCTCTTCATGTTTGAAATAATTAATTAATAATTAATAATTAATAATTAATAAATAATTAAGATGTGTCCAACAATTCAGCTGTAGAATGATTACCACATTATTATGACAGAAAATTGGTTACTTAAGTATGGTATATATAGTGAATGAAATACTGTGCAACTACTAAAACATATATTATAAAAACAAATGCTCAGATGTGGAAAGATTTTTAATATTTTATGTGCTGTCTAGAAAATTATGAATTTATGGACATGACTAGAACATAAATATAAAAATATTACCTCTGAAGTATGAGATTATGGTTCTTGTTCTCTTACATAGATCTTTTTTTTCCATATTTTCTTCTTCTTTTTTTTCTAAAATAAAAGTTTTCCAGTGTTTCTAAATTAAAAAGAAGAAAAACAGAAAAACAAAAAACATGCGATTTTTTGTGGAAATGGGGCAAGGAAACCTTGGTATCTGTAAATACAATTTGATCAAGCGAAAAACATTATCTGGATTTTTAATCTATATCACTCAAATCTGCTCTCTTACATTTTCTTAATCTTGCTCTTATAAAAAAAATAAGTACATCTGAAACATGTAAAAACAAATAATTTCATTCATTCGTCTGAAGATGTATTTGTGGGCTTGACTAATGGTTTTTCAGAGTTCAGATGTTTTCATGCCGCTAGGCCCAAGGCATTTCATACTTGGAAGTGCCCTATCTTTAATCTCTAGTTGCATTAAATCTCTGTGTCTGACTCATGAGGAAAAAGCTTCAAAGCAGAGAAGGGAAAATCCAATTTCTCTCTAAATATAATAACGACTGACGTATTTCAGACAATGTGACAACTATGTTTCAAGTGTCCTAACCAGAAGGATTGAGGTGAAGGATGTGTCAGTTAAATTAAAAAATGTGATTATTTATTAGTGCTCTCCTTTCTCCAAGGAGATTTAAGCAATGTGCTGAAATTAGGTAATTTTTACAATAGGTCTCTGAGAAGCATATAGGGAAGAGACTCATCTAGTAAGTATTTATTGAATAATTGCTTTGTTTATGACTCTGAACTTAATGTTTCGATTTACTATTTTCTCTCTTTAGAAGACATTTTCTTTTCATAGATTTTTAGCCAGTGGCTATTGAAAGAAAAGTTGGATAAGACTAAAATTAAAAACAAGTAAAAATAGAGTTCATCTCAGGGTTCCAGTTCTCTAGTCTTCTCCTAGTGGATTACAAGGAATTTGGAATTTATTTATCTATTCACCTCTCCTCCTGTATGTTGGTAGTTTGTTCTATTAGGTGCCTTCTTAGTCCCACACAATACACCTCTCATTTTCTTCACCTCTTGTCTTTCCCAGGTAAAATGTCCAGTGATCGAGCTTTGAGGAAGCAGCAACAGTTAAACAACCTTGTGTATGTGGTGACAAGTCAGGCCAAACCCGGGGACAAAATTGTGGATTTCTGCAGCGGTGGGGTATGTTATCTCTTCATGCATCTCTTTAGCCTTCCCAAGACCATGCGACTTTGTAAGACCTTCAAGGGCATGCTTTTATTTGGCAAGATTGTTATCTCCAGGTGAGCTGAAGCCTTCGGGACCAACTTGAACTTGTTTCTTCCTGTCTCTTTCAGGGTCACGTTGGGATTGTGCTTGCTCACATGCTGCCATTGTGCCAGGTAAGGTCTGAACAGTGGACAAAAGGACACACTGGAGAGCTACACGACTCAGTTAGCTGCGTCTGCTTATCCTTGCTCTCCGAGTTTATAATCATTCACCGGGGTCAAATATGTGACACCAGCATTTTCTTTTTCTTTGAACTAAACTTCTGAGATTCAGAATCTTAAGGGAAAATATGTAAAGTAGGACCACAGTCGTTTTCAACTTTTATAAAAGAGTTATGTTTTCAGATAATTTAAAAAATAAATAACTAGCCCTGGCCGGTTTTGCTCAGTGGTTAGAGCATTGACCTACAGTCCAGAGAGACCTGGGTTCGGTTCCTCCTAAGGGCACGTACCTCGGTTGCAGTTTGTCCCCGGCCCTGGTTCAGCTGTGTGGGTGGCAACCACTCGATGTATCCCTTTCACATCAATGTTTCTCTCGCCCTCTCTCTCTCTCTCTCACTCTTCCCCCACCCCCTATCTGAACACAAAATGGAAAAATGTCTTCAGGTGAGGATAAAAATAAATAAATAAATAAATAAATAAATAAATAAATAAATAAATATCCCATTGCTAAATATAACCGCCATAAAACTGGTTTAAGTGTCAACATAATTTTACTCAGGAAATACTAGCTTATGAAACTTGTTGAGCACATTCTTTTGGTAACTTGATTTTTGTTCATCATATCCATATTGTAACAACAATAACAAAATTTTTTAAGGAACAAACAAAAACAAAAAACAATCTAGCACACTGACCCATGAAAGATTTTCTCCCCATGGTCTCAGTAAGTCCTTGAGGATGCTTATTGTTGCAAATTCTAATAATGCAAATATAATTTTAGTTATCTGTTTTCACTCAATATTATATCATAAATGTTTTCCCTATTGCAAATAGTTGTACATATTTTCATTAAAATATTACTAAAATGTGACTTCACGTTTTTAAGAACATGTACCATTATTTATGCAATCATTGCCACCATTTATTAGCAGCGAGCTATTTTTAGTTTTCTGCCATATTAAATCATTTCCTCACAGTGACCATCTTTTAACATAAAAGTAGAATTTTATGTCATTTTTCAAAAAATACAGTTGAACTGGAGCATATAATTAGCTTGTGAGCTCTCTAGAAGATGCAGAATAATTACAGTGATTATTCCACTCCCAGAAGGAAAAAATGTGGAAGAACTCATAGACTGGCATGGATGACATATAACAGAATGATGGTAGTTGGAGGGGTGGTATTATTCTTCTACCTTCTTAGTAAGTAAGGAGTAAAATACATAAGGCTCCTGGGAGAAACGGGCAGAGATCTGTTTTAGTATTTAGAAAAGCTACAATTTATGGTTGAAATAAGAAGAAGGCAGTTCAGCCCTGGCCAGTTTGGCTCAGCGGTTAGAGCGTCAGCCTGCGGTCCCCAGAGACCCGGGTTCGGTTCCCGCTAAGGGCATGTACCTCGGTTGCAGTTTGTCCCCGGCCCTGGTTGGTCGTGCAGGTGGCAGCCACTCGATGTGTCCCTTCACGTCGATGTTTCTCTCTCTCTCTCTCTCTCCCTTCCGCTCTCTCCCTCCCATTCTATCTGTACAAAAAATGGAAAAATATCCTCGGGTGAGGATAAAAAAAAAAAAAAAAGAAGAAGGCAGTTCATAGGGGAAAATCCTGAAAAAGAGTCAGGGACGTGGCCTCTTTTTTTCCCCCTCCCTAACAGTTCTCCTGGGACAGAGACATCTAACTTGAAAATGGGAAGTCTTGGCTAAAGTAAAGAGCGGAAAACCTTTGACACCAATAATACTGAAAGGTTTATTTATACAAAGGGATCCAGCATTTTGCCATGAAGACAAGCATGAGGACAAAAATCAGCATAAAACTAGGAACGATAGTGATGAAACTGACTTAATTCTGCCCACTTTTCTCCATGCGAACCCCTGATCCTCTCCCATCTTCCTTGGCTTAGATTACTGGGAGACTCCCAGGTGGTTGCACTGTTCTGTCTCCCCCCACCAATCCGTACTGTACATCACAGCAACCGAAACTTCATCACCCATGCTCTGGCTGCTGTTGCCTCTCCAGCCCGAGTTCCATCCTCCACCCCCACCATCACCATCACACACTGCCCAGCTAAACCAGTGTTCTCAGTTCTTCACACGTGCAGTATATGTCTCACCTTGGGCCTTCATACCTGTTTCTCCCTCTGCCTGAAACACTACTGCATTGCCCCAGCTAATTTCTATTCATTGTTCGGGCCTCAGTTCATATGTTACTTTTTCATATTAAATGACTAAAACCTGCTTAGTCATCAAGTCTAGGTGCTCTAATAACACATTATATGCTTTTTGGTAAGCACTTATCACTGTATTATAATTGCCAGTTTCACTTATATCACAACAACTGTAAGCTTCAAGAGTTCAAGGACCTCGGTCCTTTTTGTACCATATTATCCGGCTTACTTCCTGGCACAAGATAAGGATCAATATATATTCTATATTATTAAAACTATGAAATATAGTCCTAATACTTTGTCCTAATGTCTGAATTATGTTCCTGAATATACTTTGTTTCCTGAATGAAATCTAGGTTACATTGATAGAAAACAAGGAATTATCATTAATCCGTGCTAAGAAGAGAAGCGATGAACTAGGTCTAAGCAACATTTGGTTTATTCAAGCAAATATGGAGTATTTTACAGGAATGTTTAATATTGGGGTAAGTAATGAAACCATTTCAATTTCTTTAGTTAAATAAATAAAAAAAATTATATGCCTTAGAGTAAATAAAGGAGATACTTTTATATTCTTTGCTAAATGAAGACATTTATAACTTCTATCTATATAATATAGCATACTAATGAATATTATTTTATTCATAATATTTTATCACTACATGATAGAGATAATGTTTGCTTCTCAACCAGATAAGAACTTTTTCTTCACTGCAGAATCCTCAGTACCTAAAAACAATGTTTAACACACAGCAAATGCTTAAAAATAGCTATAACTTGAATGAATAAAATGAGTAAATTCTAATGAAGATGACTTTCCTTGATTCATTCTACATTTTTAGGAGATAATGAAAGAAAGAAAAAACAAAGAAGATAATTGAAAATCATAGCTTGCTAGTAACCTATAAATTCTCAAGTGACTTTTAGGTAATATTTACTTTAGCTGGGATTTGATATCTACATATATTTTTAGCTTCCAAGAGACAGAAAATATATTGCTCATGTTTGTAAAACCTTAACACTAAATTATTATTTGATTTTACTAAAAAGACCTTAGATAGCCCAGCCAGTGTACCTCAGTGTTTGAGCATCAACCCATGCACTAAGAGGTCACCAGTTCAATTTCCGGTCAGGGCACATGCCCAGATTGTAGGCCCGATCCCCAGTGGGGGGCATACAGAAAGCGGCCAATCAATGTTCTCACTCATCGATGTTTCTATCTCTCTCTTCTTTCATCTCTCTCTCTAATATCAATAAAGAAGAAAAAAACCTAAGCTATGTGATTCTACCAGCTCTTTTAAACCCAAGATTGTGTGCTCTAGTGGAATTTGAATTTCATTAAGATGTTAGTGTTGCTGCTATTTCTTGTGTTTGTTTTAAATAATTTTTTCCTGATTTTTATAAGACTATGCTCAATAGAGAAAAATACATAATAAGAAGAAGAATCATCAGTATTTCTATTACTGAGAGATAAATACTTGCTAAAAACTTCACTCTTTTTATATGTATGCACACACACAAATGTATATTTACACATATGTTAACATAATTGAGATTATACTACATTGATCCTGCTTTAACTGAACATTGTCACAAATCTTTTCCCTACTAATTAATCATGTTTCTTTTTTTTTCATGTTGTTGTAATATAATTATTACTATGATGAATATCTTATTCATCAAGACGTCTAGACTTTTGATACATTTGCCAAATTACTTTCCAGGAAGGTTGTGCAACTGTGTATTTCTAGCTGTATATGTTCTCATAACATACCCAATGGGCTTGTCTAGGTGGAACTCTTGTCCAATTTTGTAGTATTTCCAATTTTTTCCAATGATGGTAATTTCTTAAATATCAACTACTGAAAATTTGTGGGGTTTGTTGTTATTTTTTACAGCCTAAAAAGCATGCCATTTGTTTCCTTTGCAGATACAGTCTAGACTGGTTCTCTCAAGCCTATAAAAAGTGAAATAAACTTTAAGAAAACTGTTCATAAGGAAATTCAGGGTAATGTAGACATCTGATTCAGTAAATTCAAATTAAATATATATTTATGTGCAGTTTAAATTGTACATAAACGTTGAGGTAAAGATTAAAGCTTCTCCCATGAAATGAGTCATTGAGACAGTGCCTATGTTACCAGTGCAGCAGGCAGAATGTTTAAGGTAGCAAGACATTGCTGCCCATTTACTCCGCCCTCAGTTCACAAAATTCTGAGCCTATCCGCGTATGTCTCTTTATCCTTCTAAGGCTTAGGTGCTAAATTATTGTGGCATATTCTTGTAACTTCCAAGGTCATAATTTACTAACACCAACTAAATAATGTATATGTCTATTTGGAAGTGATGATACTTTCTCTACATTTCATAATAATATATCCATAATGGTTTTTCTTTTAACCTTTATAATTACCTTTGTCAAGACATAGAAAATGATTTAAAGTTACTTGGGGGAGGATTAAACCAAAATTAGATTTATATTATCACTAGATATATCAAACGAAATGCATCAGTGTTTGTATTAGATTGATTCCAGTGAAAGTAATGTAGCTAGGGAGAAAATCAGAAATAGCCAGGTATTGGAAAGGCATTAAAGCTGTATTAATCCCTGATTTTGTGATATTTCAAATAAGGGTTTAGTTGATGTTTATGTTTGTTTAGTAAATGCTTTTTTTTTTTTTTTTTACTATTTTTCTTTAGATATAAAAATTAATGATGTAAACAAAATTTTAAAGAGAGAATTTTAAAGTCTTAGATCCAACTATCTTTGGGAACTTTAAACAAATAATATATATAGGAGAAAAAAAACACTAATTACTTGTTGAGTCTCCATTAGTACAACAACCCTTTAACCAAGGAGGTGAAAGACCTGTACGCTGAAAAATATAAGACATTGATTAAAGAAATTAAACACAACACAAATAAATGGAAAGATATACCTTGTGGTCATGGAATAAAATAATTAATATTATTAAGATGTCTATACCACAAAGCAATCTACAGATTCAATGCAATTCTTATCAAAATACCAATGACAGTTTTTACAGAATTAGAACAAACAATCCTAAAATTTATATGGAACCACAAAGATTCTAAATAGATCAAGTTATCTCGAGTGAGAAGAACAAAGCCAGAAGCATCATGCCTTCTGATTTTAAACTATGCTATATAGTAAGAGTAATTAAAATAGTATGATATTGGCACAAATACAGACACATAAATTGATGGGAGAGAATAGAGAGCTCAGGTATAAACCCATGCTTATATGCTCAATCAATCCATGACAACGGAGTCAAGAATATACAATGGGGAAAAGACAATCTTTTTTTATGTGGTACTGGGAAAACTGGACAGCTACATGCAAAAGAATGAAACTGGAGCACCTTCTTACACAATGTACAAAAATAAACTCAAAAAGGCTTAAATGTGAGACCAGAAGTCATAAAACTCGTAGAAGAAAGCATACACTGTAAACACTTTGACATTGGACTTAGCAGTATATTTTGGATCTGTCTTTTCAGGCAAGCGAAACAAAAGAAAAAAATAAACAAATGGGACTAAATCAGACTAAATTGTTTTGCACAGTGAAGGAAACCAAAAACAAAAAGACGACCTACTAAATAGAAGATATTTGCAACAGATGTATCAGATAAGGGGTTAATATCCAAAATATATAAAGAGCTCGTACAACTGAATATCAAAGAAATAAACAATCCAATTTAAAAAAATGGGCAGAGAACCTGAATAGTCATTTCTCCAAAGAAAACATACAGATGACCAACAGGTATGCAAAAAGATGCTGAACATCACTAATCAGGGAAATGCAAATCAAGCTCTGACTGGTTTGGCTCAGCGGTTAGAGCGTCAGCCCTATGACCAATGAGTCATGGGTTCAATTCCGGTCAAGGGCACGTACCTCAGTTGCAATTAGTCCCTGGCCCTGGTTGGGGTCATGCAGGAGGCAGCCACTTGATATGTCCCTTTCACGTCGATGTTTCTCTTTCTCTCTCTCTGTTCCTCTCCCTCCCTCCCACTCTATCTGAACAAGAATAGAAAAGTGTCCTGGGATGAGGATAAAAATAAAAGAAATGCAAATCAAAACCACAATGAGATATTACCTCACTCCTGTCCAACTGGCTATTATAAAAAAGACAACAAATAAGCGGTGTTGGTGAGGGTGTGGAGAAAAGTTAACACTCATGCACTGTTGCTGGGAATGCACATTGGTACAACCACTATGGAAAACAGTATGCAGATTCCTCAAAAACCTGAAAATAGAACTACCATACCATCCTGCAATCCCACTTTCGGGCATTTATTTGAAGAAATCCAAAACACTAATTTAAAGAGATATATGTACATCTATATTTATTGCAGCATTATTTACAATAGTCAAGACATGGAAGCAACCTAAGTGTCCATCAATTGATGAAATGATAGAAATTTGGTATATATAAAATGGAGTATTATCCAGCTATAAAAAAGAATGAAATCTTGCCATTTGTGACAACACAGTTGGAACTAGGGGGTATGCTAAGTGAAATAATTCAGACAGAGAAAGTCAAATACCATATGATTTGACTTATATGTGGAATCTAAAAAACAAAATAAATGAACTAACAAAACAAAACAGAAAGAGATTCATAGACACATAGAACAAACTGATGGTTGCCAGAGGAGCAGAGGGTGGAGGGATAAAAAAAAAAAAGTGGACTTTTTAAGGCTCTTTTTTTAAAAAAAAGATTTATTATTGCCTTCTTGCCTACTGTGAGATAAATAATCCTCATTATTATGAAAACTTATTTTACTGAATTATATTTTTAAGACCTAATTTACAATGTGAGTTAATAGCTCTGCTCTCAGTATAACAGAAATGTTGTCAAACAATATTACTGGCCCTGGCCGGTTTTTCTCAGTGGTTAGAGCATCGGCCTGCGGTCCAGAGAGACCCGGGTTCAGTTCCCGCTAAGGGCACGTACCTCGGTTGCAGTTTGTCCCCAGCCCTGGTTGAGTCGTGCGGGTGGCAGCCACTCGATGTGTCCCTTTCATGTCAATGTTTCTCTCTCTCTCTTCCTCTCTCTCCCTCCCACTCTATCTGAACAAAAAACAAACAAAAAAATGTCCGGGTGAGGATGAAAAAAAAATATATATATATATTATTGAAAGGGCAATTACTATGGAAAAACACACTTACATTTAAAAAACAAAAACTGTCAATGCTAAGCAACCTGCTCTCCAAAGTGTTTTAGCTGAATAATGCCAGAAATAAAATGCAGTCATCTCAACCAGGGAATAAGGTAGTGATTTTTAACAGTAGGGTGATTCTTTTTTATTTGTCAATATATATCAAAATCTCAGAACAAGTTATTTTCAAATTATCTGATTTTTTTTCTATTTAACTCATAAATTTTAATATGATTATGATTTATCAGAGCTGAGTGCTTAATTACTAGCTCATTTCTAGTTATATGTTTATATACAATTA